CAAAAGAGAAGAAATGCTTCTCAGTCTATAAAAGTGGATGATATTAACAGTCCTTAACTTATGAGGTGGTTGTGAGAATTAAATGGGCTAATGCAGTGATGATACTTCACATGGACTCCATAGATATTAGCTCGTATTTTTGTCAATTTATTTCTTCTGGTTTCTAGTTTAGGAAGCTCACCCAGGGACTTCTGTGGCAAGAAAGGCACTCAATAAAGATTTATTGAGTTGTATTGAATCAATAGTGTCATGGTTAGGAGTCAGACTCTCATGGTCCGCAGTTTGAAACTACCAGCAGTTCCATGTGAGAAAGATGAGGCTTTTAGCTCCCGTAAAGAGTTACAGTCTCAGAAACCCTAAACAGGGTTTCTATGAGTCAGAACCACCACCAGACAATAAATAAGGCTCCCTTCATAGTCTATGATCTTGTCTTTAAAGCAGGAAGGGGCTCACTAAGGCTGAATGGTGCTGCCCTCAGCTGAGTAATTGTCATGTTGACAAATCAGGAGACAGAGTTTGCTTTTGAAAATTCTGGCTAGTTTCGACTAATTTTTGTTAGCTTTGGGAAATTCTGAGACTCTTCATCCAGCTCATCTAAATTGGGGTGAGTTAGCTCACAATGTCAGCTATAGAAAAAAAAAAATGAGTATTTCATCCAGATGTTTAAATTGGGGTGAGTTAGCTCACAATGTCAGCTATAGAAAAAAAAAATGAGTATTTCATCCAGATGTTTAAATTGGGGTGAGTTAGCTCACAATGTCAGCTATAGAAAAAAAATTGAGTATATCATCCAGATGTTTAAATTGTCAGAAGCACTAAGTGCTTCTGACAATGTGATGCCAACAAAACTTGGTAACATAACTAATTCTACATTGAAACCTATACTGTCTCAGCCCCTTCCTATTTAATATTTCAATACATATGGGGTGCCTTGGGGAAAAAAGGCCTGGCAATCAAATTACAAAAAATCAACCATTGTAAACCCTGTGGAGCACAGTTCAACCGTAAAACACACAGGGTTGCCATGAGTCAGAACCGACTCCACAGCAACTGATTATACTTTCTATGATAAAATTGTCAGTTGTATTTGACCAGCAGGGGGCAGGCACTGATCACCTCTCTTTCTGCTGCACCCAAAACGGAAATAATTCATCTGAATTTTAAAAGTATATCTTCTACCACTTATCATAGTTTTTTAAAAAATTAATATTATTTTTGAAAGCTTAGTAACTGAAAATAGGTATCTAGAATGTGTTTAAAGCATCTTGCATTTCGTCATAACATTTATATACTTTATTTCATCAATTCTAAGAAGTGTATATTTTTCACATTTTAATATCCCTGATATTAGCATGCATCTCATTATGAATAGTGACTTAGGTTCAGTAAAATGTGGTAGATGTTCAATTTAACATTTGTGTATCATGGCTGTATATTCCTACTTTATTACTCATGACACAGAATGAAAATGAATTTGCATAGTTGGAGGCAGAATTGCTTAACATATTGTTCACTATTTCTTATCGTAAGTAAAATGAGAAATTAGTTGACACAAAACAGGTGGAAGCATTGGAAGTCTATACTTGCTACATTCAGTCTTTCAAAAATATTTGTGAATCAGGATCAAAAGACATTTAATATTTATTCACACTGGAGTAGCATTTAAATATCATTTGATATTCAGCGATGAAAAGCTGAATACCATTAATTTGTACTGCCCTCTTTAAACACATTTTCTATATCTTTTCAGAATCATCAAATAGAATTTGCAAAATTTGAACTGCTACTTCTTGTGATTCCACTCAGCTACAATGAGAAGAAATCCAACCCAGTAAAGAACTGACATTCATGTATCTAGCCCTCTTTATCATCCTAGGTAGTGAAGGAATAGAACTTCTTTTACCAGTTGGAGAAATTATTTGGGGGAAATTAGGAGGCCTTTTGAGGGCCAGAGCCAAGGTATAACTACTATCTTAAAACACACAGCTATACGTGTGGTCCAGTGCCAGTTGGGGGTGCCAGTGGACCCAGAGGGACCATTCCCTTTCTCAAGATATTGAGGAATATATTGGGAATATAAATACATAGCTGGAGAGTAGAGAACTTGTTCCAATGACAAGTATTCTAGTATGCATTATGGTTCATACTGCTGTGGTGAATTTACAAGGTCGGTGATTCAAGCTCACCAGCTGCTCCTTGAAAACCCTATACAGGGTCGCTATGGATCGGAACCGACTCAACGGCACTTAACAATAATAACAACAACATCTACAAGTGCTACCTTGTATAAGTCACTTATGCTCTCTGAGCTTCAGTTTCTACATCTGGAAAAATTGATAGCTTCTTTAATCTCCATAGCATTTTACTTCATTTTTGGACTAGTATCATTTTCTGTCTTGTATTGTATTTGATATGTACTAACTTCATCCTTACAATAGACTAAACTCTGAAAAGCATGGACTACATGGTTATTTTGCATTTGTATTCACTCCTTCCAACTCTAGAAACTGGAACAAAGCCTTATGGCAAGGTTGTTGCCATTGGTCCCTAACTCAAGGCAAGGTTCCAGTTTCTAGTTGCTGTTGAGTTGACTCCAACTCATGGTGCCCCTATGTGTGTCAGAATAGAACTGCACCCATTGGATTTTCAAGGCTGTGACCTTTTAGAAGTAGATCACCAGGCCTTTTTTCTGAGGTGCCTCAGGGTGGACACAAACCTCCAACCTATTGGTTAGCAGCTTACATCACCCAGGAACGTCTATGGCAAGATTGATATACAATAAAAATTTATTGAATCGAATTGAATTGGACTATTGTTGTTGTTAGGTGTCATTAAGTCAGTTACAACTCATAGCGGTCCTATGCACAACAGAACGAAACACTGCCCAGTTCTGTGACATCTTCACAAGTGTTGTTACATTTGAGCCCAGTATATCTCGTTGAGAGACTTCCTCTTTTTCGTTGCCCTCCACTTTACCAAGCCTTCTCTAGTGACTAGTCCCTCCTGATAATATGTCCAAAGTATGCGAGACAAAGTCTGTTCATCCTAGCTTCTAAGAAGCTGTATTTTAGCTGTATTTCTTCCAACACAGAATTGTTTGTTCTTCTTGCAATGTTGTTCTCCAACACCTATACTCAAATGCACCAATTCTTCTATAGTCTTCCTTATTCATTGTTCAACTTTTATATGCATATGAGGCAATTGCAAATACCATGGCTTGGGTCAGGTGCACCTTAATCCTCAAAGTGATGTCTTTGCTCTTCAACATTTTAATGAGGTCTTTTGCAGCAGATTTGCCCAACTCAGTCATGATTTCTTGACTGCTGGTTTCTTGAATGTTGATTGTGGATACAAATAAAGTAAAATCTTTGACAACTTTAATCTTTTCTCCATTTATCATGATGTTATTTATTGGTCCGTTTGTGAGGATTTTTTGCATTCTTTACATTGAAGTGAAGGTGGTATCATTTGCATATCCCAGGTTTTTAATGAGTCTTCCTCTAATCCTGATCTTCTTCAGATTCTTCTTCATATAATCCACCTTCTTGGATTATTTGCTCAGCATACAGATTGAATAAGTATGCTGAAAGGATACAACACTGGAACACACCTTTTAAACAATTCAGTTTTCCCTTTTTCTGTTCAAATTACTGCCTCTTGGTCTATGTACCGGGTCCTCATGAGCACAATTAAGTATCCTGGAATAATCATTCTTTGCAATGCTATAATCCACATAGACAAAAGCCTTTGCGTGGTCAGTGAAGCAAAGATAAAATCTTTCTGGTATTCTCTGCTTTCAGCTAAGATCCATCTCATGTCAGTAATGATATCCTTAGTATCACATCCTCTTCTGAATCTGGCTTGGGTTTTAGGCAATTCTTTGTTGATGCACTGTTGCAGCTGTTTTTTAATTATCTTCAGCAAAATTTTACTTACATGTGATATTTATGATATTGTTCGATGAGTTTAGCATTTCATCGGGTCACCTTTCTTTGAAATGGACACAAATATGGATCTCTTCTAATCAATTGGCCAGGTGCTGTCTTCCAAATTTCTTGACATAAGTGAATGAGTGCTTCCAGTGCTGTGTCAGTTTGTGGAAAGAGTTCCATTTGTATTCCATCAATTCCTGGAGCCTTGTTTTTCATCAATACCTTCAGTGCAACTTGGACTTCTTCCTACAATACCATTGGTTCTTGATCATATGATGTGCCTTGAAATGGTTGAACATCCACCATTTCTTTTTGGTACAGTGACTCTATGTATGCCTTCAACCTTCTTTTGATGCTTTCTGTATCATTCGATATTTGTCCATAGAATCCTTTAATACAGCAAGTCAAGGCTTGAATTTTTCCTCAGTTCTTTTCAGGTGATAAATGTTAAGCATGTTCTTCCCTTTTGGTTGTCTAAATCCAGGTCTTTGCACATTTCATAATAATACTTGACTTTGTGTTCTCGATTGCCCTTTGAAATTTTCTGTTTAGCTCATTCACTTCCTCATTTCTACCATTCACCTTAGCATCTCTACTTTGGAGAGCAAGTTTCAGAGTCTCTTCTGACATCCATTTTGGTCTTTTCTTTCTTTCCTGAATTAGAGTCCATGGTAAGTAAGGTACCTTTCTCTAATATCCTATGATCCTGTCTTTGAAGCTGGAGGGGCTCTCTAAAGCTGGATGATTTCTCCCATCAGCTGGGTAATTGTCAAGTTGCCAAGTCAGTAGACAGAGTTTGGATGAGTGAGGAGGAAGGAGATGTAGCTAATTAAATGACCATACAGGAAAACTAGCAAGGTCAATGGATTACAGATTTAGCCTTCTGCATTTCAGTACTCAAGCAATCTTCAAAACTCATTGGAGAAAAAAGGAAAGATGAGGGGAGGAAAGAGAAATGCAGATGGCTGAATAAACAAACTCTGAAGAGATTTTTGTATGTTAAGCCCTCTAAGTTGACAAGAGATAACTTCTTAATGATGGTTGAGACTCTATTGGTTATATTTTCAGATATGGAACCTCCTAGAATTAAGTGCCCAAGTGTGAAGGAACGCATTGCTGAACCCAATAAGCTGACAGTCCGGGTGTCTTGGGACACCCCCGAGGGAAGAGACACAGCAGATGGCATTCTGACTGAGTAAGTGAGATATGGCAGCTGGAATTTTGCTACCCCTTTTATGTGAAACATTACTACCAGGAATAAAGGATGCTTCTATTCAAGATGTGCCTTCAGACCTGGTCCTCCTTATGAAGGATAAACTCATGGCACAGCCTTTCAAGTCACCGTTCTCTCTCCCCTACACTCCTAATTGCTTCGACCCTTGTTTCCTTCAGTTGTCTTCTAAAAACCATTGAATAGTTTCCCATATTATTTAAACAAAACCCCCCACTATTAACTACCTACACTCCTCTTCTACTCTTCCTCACTCACACTGGCCTCCTTGCTTGTCTTCAAACACACCTGGGATGCATCTACTACAGCATCTTTGTCCTTGTTCCTTCTGCTTAGAATACTCTTCCCTTATCTGAATGGTTTCTTCTTCTCCTTCAGGTGTGTTTTTCAAAAGTCATCTTAGCAAAACCATCCCTGACCTCCGGCTTAGAGTTGCAATCCACACCCTTTCAGGGACTCCAATTACTCATCTCTCTCTCTCTCTCT